TGGTGTGTGAGCATTGGTGTGTGAGCGTTGGTGTGTGAGTGTCGGTGTGTGAGTGTCAGTGTGTGAGCGTTGGTGTGTGAGCGTTGGTGTGTGAGCGTCGGTGTGTGAGCATCGGTGTGTGAGTGTCAGTGTGTGAGTGTTGGTGTGTGAGCGTCAGTGTGTGAGCATCGGTGTGTGAGCGTTGGTGTGTGAGCATTGGTGTGTGAGCATTGGTGTGTGAGCGTTGGTGTGTGAGCGTTGGTGTGTGAGCGTTGGTGTGTGAGTGTTGGTGTGTGAGCATGCGTCGGTGTGTGAGCGTTGGTGTGTGAGCATTGGTGTGTGAGCATTGGTGTGTGAGTGTTGGTGTGTGATTGGTGTGTGAGCGTTGGTGTGTGAGTGTTGGTGTGTGAGCGTTGGTGTGTGAGTGTTGGTGTGTGATTGGTGTGTGAGCGTTGGTGTGTGAGCATTGGTGTGTGAGTGTTGGTGTGTGAGCATTGGTGTGTGTGTGTCGGTGTGTGAGTGTGTGAGCGTCGGTGTGTGTGCGTCAGTGTGTGAGTGTTGGTGTGTGAGCGTCGGTGTGTGAGCGTCAGTGTGTGAGCGTTGGTGTGTGAGCGTTGGTGTGTGAGTGTTGGTGTGTGATTGGTGTGTGAGCGTTGGTGTGTGAGTGTTGGTGTGTGAGCGTTGGTGTGTGAGCATTGGTGTGTGAGCGTCGGTGTGTGAGCATTGGTGTGTGAGCGTCGGTGTGTGAGCATTGGTGTGTGTGTGTGTCGGTGTGTGAGTGTGTGAGCGTCGGTGTGTGAGCGTCAGTGTGTGAGTGTTGGTGTGTGAGCGTCGGTGTGTGAGCGTCCGTGTGTGAGCGTTGGTGTGTGAGCGTTGGTGTGTGAGTGTTGGTGTGTGATTGGTGTGTGAGCGTTGGTGTGTGAGTGTTGGTGTGTGAGCGTTGGTGTGTGAGCATTGGTGTGTGAGTGTTGGTGTGTGAGCGTCGGTGTGTGAGCGTTGGTGTGTGAGTGTTGGTGTGTGAGCGTTGGTGTGTGAGCATTGGTGTGTGAGTGTTGGTGTGTGATTGGTGTGTGAGCATTGGTGTGTGAGCGTCGGTGTGTGAGCGTTGGTGTGTGAGCGTTGGTGTGTGAGCGTTGGTGTGTGATTGGTGTGTGAGCATTGGTGTGTGAGTGTTGGTGTGTGAGTGTTGGTGTGTGAGCGTCGGTGTGTGAGCGTTGGTGTGTGAGTGTTGGTGTGTGAGCGTTGGTGTGTGAGCATTGGTGTGTGAGCGTTGGTGTGTGAGCATTGGTGTGTGAGCGTTGGTGTGTGAGCGTTGGTGTGTGAGCGTTGGTGTGTGATTGGTGTGTGAGCATTGGTGTGTGAGTGTTGGTGTGTGAGCGTTGGTGTGTGAGTGTTGGTGTGTGAGCGCCGGTGTGTGAGTGTTGGTGTGTGAGCGTCGGTGTGTGAGTGCCAGTGTGTAAGCACACACACATGCATGCCCACACATGCATGCCATACTGCACACACACATGCATGTATGCATGCCATACCACATACAAATGGAGAAAAAGAAAAGTTGAATACTAGACACCATCTCATTGTCTGCTATAATCCGGAGAAATGTCTCCTAGGTGACATTTAGAATACGTCACTCCACACCCCTCAAGCAGAGACCCAGGGACCCCAGAGTAGTTTCCACTCAGACAACATGGTGTCTTTCCTGACCAAGCCCTCTCTAGCCATGTGCTGTGCCCCCGTACCTCACCTGCCAGTACTTGCCTGCAGGCTTTGATGAGTTACTGTGGGGTTGAGGGGAGAGGCAGAGCTCACTTGTAGGCACACGTCCTCGTGTGCTTTCTCTGGCTGTGATACACATCATGACCAAGAGCAGCTTGGGAGGAGAGGGTTTATTTGGTTTGCGGAGATACCCGTTACAGAGTCTATCATTGAGGGAAGTCGGGGCAGACCAGAGCAGAACCCCAGGGGAACACTGCTTCTTGGCTTGTTCCTTGCGGCCTGTGTCAGGTTGGCAAAAGGTCACTGATTCAGTGTATGTGATAGATAGAGCCGGACCATCTCAAATCCTGAGTTAGTCACCTCTGCGTCACTGCCAGAAACAGCCTCAGGGAGGAAAGGGTTATTTTCCGCACAGTTTCAGAGGGAACAGCCTGAACATCACAGCAGCAGAAGTTCCCTTGGCAGCAGAAATGTGGGTCTCTTGTTTAGAGGGCACCAATGGACAAGAAAGCTGACAGTTGGGCCGCAAGAGCCTGACCCCTTAGTGTAGTTCCTCCTGCTAGGTCCTACATCCCCCACAGCTACTGCTGGGACTAAATGTTCAAACACTCAGCCTACAGCATAATCCCCCCTCCTCTCCCACCCCTGGAATAGCGAAAACTGCCTTTGCCACTGCTCCCCTGCTGTGAGCCTCCTGTCCACTAGGGGCAGCCTTCTAAATCAGCCATTACAGACTCTGTCCTGCAGGCTTCCTAAGCACCTGTGATTCCCCTTCACTGGCTCCAGGCACCAGCTCCCAGCAGGTAGTGCCCGCACTTTGCAGAGGTTTCAAAGTCATCCCCACTTGCTCCCTATCCAGGCTGTTGGTTACTGGATTTTTAACACCAGAAGCAGCATGGTATTAAATTTAGACCCGGGAGTCTGCAAACTTTTACTGTATGGAACGAAACCAGGTATGCGCCAAACCTGCCTCTTGCATGCAAGTGTTCAGCCCCTCAGCAAGTGTGCAGCCCCAGCAAGTGTGCAGCCTGCGCAAGTGTGCAGCCCCTCAGCAAGTGTGCAGCCTGAGCAAGTGTGCAGCCTGCGCAAGTGTGCAGCCCCTCAGCAAGTGTGCAGCCCCTCAGCAAGTGTGCAGCCCCTGAGCAAGTGTGCAGCCTCAGCAAGTGTGCAGCCCCTGAGCAAGTGTGCAGCCCCTGAGCAAGTGTGCAGCCCCTCAGCAAGTGTGCAGCCCCTCAGCAAGTGTGCAGCCTGAGCAAGTGTGCAGCCCCAGCAAGTGTGCAGCCTCAGCAAGTGTGCAGCCCCTCAGCAAGTGTGCAGCCCCTCAGCAAGTGTGCAGCCCCTGAACTAGCATTAGTTTTTGTACTGTGAAAACGTCAGCCTTGGGTGCCACTCTTCACTCAGCCCCTCCTTTAGATGTAGTGTCTCTCATTGGCCTAGAACTTGCCACGATGGCTAGGCTGGCAATGAGTGGGGGAGGGGCACCATGCCTTTCTTACAAGTGCACGCATTCTAGAGATCAAATTCAAATCAGAGCTTGCAGGGTAAGATGCTTGCTCTCTGAGCCATTTCCCAAGGCCCCAAGGTGGCTGACTTGTTTTTTTAAAAAGCAGGTGAATCCTGACTCACACCTGTACCCCTAGCGCTCACTAGATAGGAAGACTATTGTGAGTTTGAGGCCAGACAGAGCTACATGTGGGACCCGGCCTCAAAAAAACAAACAAACAAACAAAAAACAAAATGAGCTGTGAGACTATACCAAATGCAGTGCAAAAGTAAATGGAACACGAGTCCCTGTGTCCCCAGGACAGTGCACGGAAACAGTGTGTTTATCTGTCACATGGGAACTGAGAGAAGCCATTATATGTGGCCTCCTTCAGGCACAGAGGTGGCCAAAATAATCATGGCCTCCAGTGCCTGAGCAGTTCCTCATCTTTCCCTTAAGAAATCCGGTGAGTCTCTGCTCTAAAAAAATAATGTTGAGAATTCAAAATCATCTGTGGACTGGACATAGTGGCAGACTGTCACATGGCTGTCACATGGCTGTCACATGACTGCCACATGGCTGTCACATGACTGTCACATGGCTGTCACATGACTGCAACATGATTGTCACATGGCTGTCGCATGACTGTCACATGACTGCAACATGATTGTCACATGGCTGTCACATGGCTGTCGCATAACTGTCACTTGGCTGTTACATGGCTGTCACATGATTGTCACATGGCTGTCGCATGACTGTCACTTGGCTGTTACATGGCTGTCACATGATTGTCACATGACTGTCACATGGCTGTCGCATGACTGTCACATGGCTGTCACATGGCTGTCACATGGCTGTCACATGACTGCAACATGATTGTCACATGGCTGTCACATGGCTGTCACATGACTGCAACATGATTGTCACATGGCTGTCACATGACTGTCGCATGACTGTCACTTGGCTGTCACATGGCTGTCACATGGCTGTCACATGACTGTCACTTGGCTGTCACATGACTGCAACATGATTGTCACATGGCTGTCACATGACTGTCGCATGACTGTCACTTGGCTGTCACATGGCTGTCACATGGCTGTCACATGGCTGTCACATGACTGCAACATGATTGTCACATGGCTGTCACATGACTGTCGCATGACTGTCACTTGGCTGTCACTTGGCTGTCACATGGCTGTCACATGGCTGTCACATGGCTGTCACATGACTGCAACATGATTGTCACATGGCTGTCACATGACTGTCACATGACTGTCACTTGGCTGTCACATGGCTGTCACATGGCTGTCACATGACTGTCACATGGTTGTCACATGGCTGTCACATGGCTGTCACATGACTGTCACATGACTGCAACCTGACTGTTACATGACTTTAATCCAAGCACTCAAGAGGCTGAGGCCATCAGACCTCGGCTCACAAATTCCAAGCCAGCCTGGGATACACAGAGCAATGCTGCCACAAAATATCAAATAAATTAATTAGCTAATTCATTAATTACCAAATACCCGGTGAGCTCCTGTTTTCTGTCCTGTGGGTATAATTAAAGTGATGTTGGTCCTCTCCTTCCGCACTGTACGTTCTGGGGATTGAACTCAGGTCGTTCGGGCTTGGTGGCAGTCACCTTTTACTCCCTGAGCCCTCTCACCGCTTCTCAACACTGTAACTTTAATGACTATCTGTGGATTCCCTGTGTGCTCAGCTTGTCGGCGTACCATCTCATGAACATGCGTGAACCAGCCCCTGAGTCAATGTGAATATCAATTATATAATTATCAATGTGTAGACATGCATTCAAGCAAGTACAAGACACCAAGTCTTCTTCCTCCTCATTTATTCTGGGGTGCTGTAAACAGAGAGACGTCCCTTTGGCAGCTTTCCTGCTTCACCCGTCTTGGATGACATGACAGATTCTCCTTCATAGAAGGTACAAGAGGGGTGGGGAGACAGGGCATTCTGGATCCTTCCCTCTTCAGGAAGTATGATCTCATCCAGATGTGTCTGGTTTTCAGTAGAAGTGGCCCATGTTCCTCGGGATTGAGGAGTCCAGGCCGCTGTTCAGCCATATTTCTTGAATGATTTGCTCCCTGCGCTCAATCCTTTCTGCCAGCTCAGCGGCCTCTATGGAGCTGTAGGCTGGATACGAAGTCCTACAAAACCTGGACAGTTCCGCAGGAAACTCGGAGTCCGAGGACTCCTCCTCTTCCGCTTCCTCCTCGCTGTCTTCCTCGGCCTTGTCACTCGCTAGCACCAGATGCTCCCGTCCCTGTCCCAGCTCCTGGAAGTCCTTGGCACAGGACACTCTGATGACCAGGGCACACAGCGTGAGGACCAGGCCGATGCAGACACTAGACACAAACAGCAGGGCAGCTCTCTCGGGGTGGGCTGTGGAAAGAACAGAGAGAGGGAGGGTCTGAAAGGGTTAATTTTGGATTTGCCACCCATCCTGCCAGAGAAGCCATGGCAACAGGGACATGTGGCAAAATGGAGCTGATCCGGAGTTCTTCCCAAAAGGACATTATTATCAGGGAACAAACATTCAAATATGACCTTGTGGGAGACATATCAGATTCAAATTATAGGAAGTAGCCACCAACACTATGTAAAGCACAGGGCCTGAATGTGTTCCAATAAAACTTTATTGGTTTGAGCTGGGGGCTCTTGATTGAACACTTTTATAAATGTTCAAGCTGAGGCCAGAAGGAAGGCTACAAAGGCCAGCAGCCTCTTCGGGCAGAACCAGGACTGAATCCTGGGACTCCTGGAATGGGCTTTGGTGTGCCCAGCATTTTCTCAGTACCTCTCAGCTGCCCAGAACCCTATCCAGGCACACGGTCATGCCTTTCATTGTGGGAAAAACAATGAAGACAGTTGTCTTCCCAGCTGCTGTCTTTCCCCAGGGGTCTGGACTGGAGTCACTAAACTCCAGGGCGCTAGAGTCCCTGGCAGTGAGGGATCGCGCAGTTGAGATGGAACCAGGACACTTTATCTTCCTGAAAGTGATACCTCCCCAGCCAGCTCCCCTCCCGCAGCCCAAGCTGTCCCTAGAGTAACTCACTCATCTGTGTCACACTTTGTGACCCTTCCCCTGCCTAGCATCTCCCCACTCCCTTTAAGACCCAAAGGTCTGAAATAGCGTTGGTTTTGTCTGAAGAAGGAACAATACACCACATCTGCCAAGCTATCGGTACAGTGTGAAGAGTCAATGTATACAAAGGATTCAGTCTCGGAGCCACACGTCCTTTGTGACAGAGAGAAGGGCCACTTTCACCTCTGGGAGCGGTGGCAGATGGCCTATCTGGAGGCGCTGACTCAACAGGAAGGAGGCCAAGACCAGGGCATTAGGTCGGACCCTCCCTCCAGCTTCCCACAGATCAAAGCCGACTCCACCTCCCCCAACGTCACAGTTGCCTTCTGACGCAATTCAGATGTCGCTTGAGTGTCCCTTCAGTTTATGTGTTGGAACTGATACCTCATGAGAGGGTTTAAGAGGGAAGAGCCGTAATTCACTTCCTAGCCACTCATGGGTGGTGAAGACCAAAGGTCGCTCACAGACCACGCCCTCTTATCCAAGCAGAGGTGCAGTGGTTGACCAGATCTCAGGCTCCATGGACTCAGGTCAGCGTCTCACTCCGCCACACACTTGATCTGTTACTCTACCTCTTTATGTATTTAAGGACTTTTTGTTCCACACTGAAGTCTGAATTTTGGGACACCACACATGCGGGACTGGTGCTGAAGCACTGAGTCATACCCCGGCCCTATTTCTAAGGAATTGAGATTAATCAGATTGAGTGAGTCCTTGGGGTCCATCACACGCTACCACAAAATCAGTGTCCCCCCATCCCCAGGTGGCAGGGTCCGGGTTCTACTCCTGGGATTCAGGGGTTGCTCTTGCCACCGGACTCTGTGGGGGCCAGTGGCCGAGGCTGGGGAAGAGGAACAGCTTCCGGCAGTCCCAGTGGGAATAAAACTTCCTCTCCATATGGAGTGACGGTCACACAGCCACCAGAGTGTAGGCAGATGGCACCTTAGGGACGAGCTGGCCTAACCCCTGGTGTAGCTTAGGACTTTCCAAAGCCACCACTGACTGGGACCTGGGCTTACACAGAAAGCACTTCCTCCATTTTCTAGAACCAATGGACTCTCTTCTATCATCTCTAGATAGAATGAGATGAATGAAGATGAACAGATAGAGTCTCGAGATGCAGTCTTTCTGTTGTGGTTGAACAGAACCTTCAGAGAGTTTCTGCTGTATTCTAAATTTAGCCCCAGTCCATCGCAGGCTAGAGGGAATGACCCCAGGAGCCTTAGAATGGGTGCCAGAGGCCTTTAGGCTCCATTTGCTCTTTAGATACTCGTCTGGGAACAACACAAACTCCAGTTCAAATTTAGTCACACCCAGATAAGCCAGCAGAGGCCTCCGTCTAGGGTCCCTCTCTTGTGGGACTTGGCCGGAGTCCTCGAGGAGGAAGAAGCACACAGTGTTTGGGGACAGGTCTGACAGCACTCAGGGATGTGACAGGATCGTCTGTCAGAGCTGGAGACCCGGGGACACTTTAGAGCACACGCCCACGTGACAGTACCGTGCCACTCTCTGTTTGTCTGCCCTGAGGGGGTGGTGCAGCTGGCTTTGGGATGTGTGATGAAATCTCTCCTCCTTCATACAGCTCCTCCGATGTCCTAGAATTCTGTTCTGAGAACAGACATGGTTGCCTTGGCTGTGCTCCCAGATCCCAAAGACACCCCCAAAGTTCTCATTCGGCTTGCCTGAGGCTGAACACACATGTACACACACCACAACCCCCAACAGTGGGACAGTGATTGAATATTGAGTCATGACAGGCAGGCCTGTAGGCACAGATGAGGTAAACACCCAAAGCCAGATGCCAATAAGACACTAATTTGGTGTTCTGGGAGGGGTCATTTATTTATTTCGAGAGCAAGACTAAATAAGTCCCTCATGCAGGGTGCAGTGGCTTCTGCTGAAGCACCTAATGAACTGTATTCCTCAGAACATACACGTACACACATAAACACATGTGCACACACACGTACATACATAAACACATGTGCACATACTGCTATCCCCCACCTGAAGTCCCCTGTATCACAAACAAGTGCCACCAGCCTTACCTACACTCACACAAACAGTATACAGCATACAAGTACCCTGCCCTACCACACACCACAAACACAAATGTCCGTACACCAAATATCTACCACACACACCACCCATCACACTTACCACGTCTATCACAGACATACACCAAACATTCCACAAGTACACATAGATAACACACATCACACACTCACTCACACACACACACACACACACACACACTCCACACACTCACACACACATACACACATGTGTGCACATCACACACATACTTCCCCTTTCTATGGAAGATGCCCTTGCAGATCACGTCAATGGCCAGAGGGAGCACGGTTTAGCAGAGATCTTAAACACTCTTGTGTCCCTTCCATCAACCTCAAGTTTCCCTGTGCAGGTCAAGGCCCTTGGTTTTGGCTGCCCGTCTGCTTGTCCCTGTACTTCACTGCATAAACATGGCAAAGCTACTTGGTGGCCTGACTTTCCCTCAGTTTACAGGAATATTCCCTGCTCAAGCCCTTGGCTCCCCAGCTGCTCTCGCCAGTGGCCTCACTATCAATGTGTCCTATCAAACAGGAGCCTGTGTCCAGCTGTTGGACCCTAGCCCTGAAGCAAGGCTTTTCAGACCCACGCCTGTCTTGGCTGTGACTTGCTGAGATGAACATAATGAAACATCTCTCAAGAAAATTAAACAACATCCCATCGGTCTTCACATTAACAGGAGCATTATTCTGGGTTGTAGAAGCTAACGAGACGGCTCTGGATAAAGGCTTTCGCCACGTAAGTCTGACAAGCTGAATTTGATCCCCAGACAGTGGTAGGAGAGAACCAATTGCACAAAATTGTCCTCTGACATTCACGTTCGTGCCATGGCATGCGTGCACCCACAGACACAGTTTACGTGTGTGTGTCCGTGTGAATGCACACCCACAGAGGCTGAAGAACGGTGTCAGGTTCCCTGAACTAGAATTGCAGGCAGTGGTAAGTCTCCTGACATGGATGTTGGGAACTGAACTTGGGTCCTCTGCAAGAGCAGCAAATACTCTTAACCACTGAGCCATCTTTTCAGAGCTATTAAAAATAAGTTGTAAATTATTAGATGATGAAAGTATAAGACAGCCATAATATCAGCTTGGGATTTATTATTCAGCCAGTTGTTAGCTACTCACTGTGTCCTGGTGCACCCCAGAACTGTCTAGACATGGAGATACAACAGAGATAAACTAGATGACAGCTGTCTGTCCTTAAGGAGAGTAGACAGGCAAACACACCATCCAGACGTGTAGCAGGATGAGCACACAAAAGGACAGAGACAGGGATATTTACATAGCACTGGGTAAGAGGTTCCAAAGCCTGAAGACAAAGTTCTTTGTAGAAGCTGACTGACAGCCTTGCCCCTCACCCAGCGTGAAGCTGGACACAGCCGCTGTCCATGGTGCCCTTGGAAAATGGCTCAACTCCTCTGACCCTCAGCTCCTTTAAGCTTTTATAAAATTCAGGATCAGAGCCCCACCCCTCAGAGTTGCTGCTCTGGACTGATCATGTTCCCCAAATGCATGCTAATGCCCTAACCCCTAGTATGACTTTGCAGACAGAACTTTCTGGAGCTAATTAAGGATAACAGAATGCACCAGCAGGTCCTCATCTAATAGGACTGGTGGGTTTAGAAAAGTTCACACGCTCCTCTTCCCACCCCCACTACACAACACACATGCCCACAGGAGGCCGCAGCCAGCAGGTGGCTGTCTACATGCCAGAAGGAGGCTCTCGATCATGGGCTTCCTTCCAGCCTCCCTCCAGAACTGTCAGAAAATAGGAGTTGTTCCTTAAGCTCCAGTCTACAGTGTTTTGTTGTGGTGCCTGAGGAAGGATGGCATCCAGAAGCAGAAAGCCCAGCACGGCTACACCTCAGCCAGCAGCATCTCGGCTTCTCTTCATCATCCTCCTCCACTTGAAGGGACTTTGAAACTATAAACATACTTCCAAAATGGTGTGGGAGAATTGTCTGTATTCTATCAAATATGTTTTAAATAAACACTGATTGGCCAGGCAGGAAGTATAGGCGGGTCAACCAGACAGGAAGTAGAGGCAGGGTAATGAGAACAGGAGAATTATGGGAAGGGGGAAGCCCATTCCTCCCAGTCCTGCCAAGAGCACTCAAGAAGCAGGATGTGACTACCCTACTGAGAAAGGTACTGAGCCATGTGGCTAACATATACTAGAATAATGGATTAATATAAGCTACAAGAGCTAATAAGAAGCCCGAGCTAATGGGCCAATCAGTTTATAACTCATAGAGACCTCTGTGTAATTTCTTTGGGGCTTACCGGCTGGGGGAACTGGGCAGGACAGAAACCCCAACAAACAGCCCTCATGTTACACCAAAAGCCAGATGTTCACATTTGACTTTGACAGTCATCAGGAGCAGAAAGAATGGACACAGGAGAGAAGTGTAAGGGGGGAAAAAGGCAAATAACCATGCAGGATAAGGCGTGCTCACGGGGTAAGTCACGCTCACGGGAGGAATGCTGAGTGGGAAAATGATGCAGGCACGGGGTTCTGGGGCCAGGCTCTCTAGCTCCTGTGTTGAGATGTTTCTCTAAGCCTTGATTCCCCTCGGAGGAAGCTCTGCCCACGTAAAACCAGCTCCGTCAGGCTTACATAGCAACATGCACACATCCTCATACTGTGCTTTTACGGAAGATCTTGGAGTTTCTGACCTCTACACAGTTTTGATTAATGTTCCCCTGAGACCTAGAGTTTGGCTTCCATGGTGGCCTTGGGGGGTGCTGTGGACTTTTAAGAGGTGGGGTAAATGGGAAGCCTTTAGGTCACTAGGCATGCACTAGGGGATTGGAGAACCCTGCTCTATTCCTTTCTCTCCCTCTCCTCTAGTTCAAAATGTGCTCACTCATGACGCCCACCCTCACCACAGCCCAAACTGATGGAGCCACTGGACCTTGAACTTGACCTCCAGAACCATGAGCCAGGATGCACCTGTTTTTACTGGAGGAGTCCTGGGTCTTGTATTAAATAGTGTGGCTGGATGATGGCGCCTTCCTTGAGCAGGAAGCCAGCACTGAAACTTGCAGACAACATTCCAAGGTACAATCTGTCCTAGGTCATGCGGGAAGGAGCAAGGAGTGCACATTCCTCCTCAGAGAGGACTGCACATGGCCAGGCCTGGAGCAAGCCCTCAGCCCTGAGGAGATTAACCAGGAAACCTGGCAACCACAGTCATTCTCCAGCCTCCTGAGGTGGCTGTCATCCCACGGCAGGACCTGTTTTGCTTCTTATGTGGTCTGCCTTGTTTTTCTTGCAGCTGTGAGTAGAATTCAATAATCCTAATTCTTAGATCTGGGGAATGTATTTCTATTTTTCAAGAGGGGAAATTCCTTTGGAGACCAAACCCTCAGCAACTCAGTTTTATTCTTGCAGGTCGCTTGGTTTTATGGCCGCAGCTGTATTTGCATCCGGGCCCTGTGCTTCACAACACTGCAGGTACACCTTAAAAGCCACTTTTCCCTTGTTATCATAGTATCCATCAGTGAGGAAGCGAGTAAACCCTTCTGCACCCCAAGAAGCTCCCATTCGTCCACCTACCTCGAATGTAAGCAAACGCAGCCAGAGAGTTGCTGACAATAACACCATCTTTCCGCACAACCCTCGATCCACTTGGGTCGAATTTTATACCTGCAACATGCAAAGGCCGTTGGTCGGAGGAGTATGGGGTATACCTGTCCTAAAAGCCCTGTTGACCCTCACCATTGGTCAGAGGAGTACGGGGTGTACCTGTCCTGAAAGCCCTGTTGACCCTCACCGTTGGTCAGAGGAGTACGGGGTGTACCTGTCCTAAAAGCCCTGTTGACCCTCACCGTTGGTCAGAGGAGTACGGGGTGTACCTGTCCTGAAAGCCCTGTTGACCCTCACTATTGGTCAGAGGAGTACGGGGTGTACCTGTCCTGAAAGCCCTGTTGACCCTCACCGTTGGTCAGAGGAGTACGGGGTGTACCTGTCCTGAAAGCCCTGTTGACCCTCACTATTGGTCAGAGGAGTACAGGGTGTACCTGTCCTGAAATCCCTGTTGACCCTCACCTGGGCCTGCCTCAAGAGTGAAAAGTCACAGATGTCACACTGCTGGGCTTCTGACTAAACTGTGGAAAACTCAACATTGAGTACTGAGGCCTAAATGTGAACTGTCCCTATGGGCTCACGGGCTGGAAGGCTTGGTCCCCAGCTGGAAGAGCTGTTTGGAAGCCTGTGGAACCTTTAGAAGGTGGATCCTCACTGAAGGAAGTGGTTGGTGGAGGTGGGCTTTGAGGTTTATAACCTGACCCCGCTCCCAATTGTCCTCTGGTTCTTGACTGTCTCACTATCCTGCCGCCATGATGAACTGCATCCTTTCCTAAACCATGAGCCAAAATTAAGCGTTGTTTTTCTCGGGTGTTTTGTCCCCGTCACAAGAGCAGCTCGTCCATCTTTGAAAATGTCAAACGATTAAAGGGATTCAAAGCATTTCAAAGTGTTGGTTCCAACTTCAGGCGTAGCTCATGTACCCCTCTCCAGAACAGATCGTGCTAGTCCATGCCAAAGGCAATTGCACCCATCATGTCTCTAGGAGGCTGGGTAAATAATGTCTCATCTTACCCAGGAATAGAATAGTGTCTGCTCTGTGGACTGAGATACCACAAACCTTGGGTTGTGAAGGTAGGCAGGGGAGGATTGTTTGTTTGATCTCTCTCTCTCTCTCTCTCTCTCTCTCTCTCTCTCTCACACACACACACACACACATACACACACACACACACACACACACACACACACACTGGCCTGCTTTTGGATTCAAGGGCACTGCCCTGATGGACACCAAGCAGGTGCCAATGGACCAGTACTGGAGCGTGGGGAGCCCTGGGAGGATCACACAGGGCAGATGTCTCGAAGAAAGATGGAGATCTGGGGGCTGCACTGAAGAAGGACAGGGACCCTTTAGGATGGGAGCCATGTGAGGGGAGGAGGGAGCTGAGCTATGGAGCCTGGGAGACAGGGTGTGGAGAATGCTCTGGGCTAAGGGTGGCTTCTGTGTCTTGGCATTGCGTTTCCTATAGCAGGAAGGACACATGCAGCAAAGCACGGAACCAGTCCTCTGTGTCAGAGATGCCCAAGCCCACGAATTCAACCACAGACTGTGAAAAAAGGCCCTCAGAAGAAATATGAACGTGTACAGATTTCTTTCTTTCCATCATTTCTTAAACGAAACAGCACGACATGGCTTTGGCAATGTGACAAGGACTGTAAGCAATCTAGAGAGTACAGCAGGGTTGTGTGGGCTCGGTGTAAATACTGCGCTGTTTTATTTAAGGGACTCGAACACTTTGCTGGTTTGAGCAAGTATGGAAAGTTCTAGAATCATTCCCTAAGACACTTTTATGAAAGTAAAGTATAGTAAGAAAAAGTTTACTATACTTTACTTTCATAACTGGGGGCAGGCATAAGTAAAATAAAATAACACAAGACAAAACCCTTACTACTCAAAGTTAGCATCATATGCATTCTGTGGGATCTCCACAGTTCCTGTGAAGAACTCAACAGGCCTGCAGAGTGAGTTCTAGAACAGCCAAGGCTACCCAGAGAAACCCTGTCTCAAAAAAACAAAAGCCAAACAAATCCAGGCTGGCAGCGACGTTCAGTGGGCTGAGCCGAGGGTGTGAGCTCACCCCCAGGACTCAGAGTGGAAGAGAGAACTGACTTCTGTAACTTGTCCTCTGCATCCACACTCACATGCATCCATACCCACTTACACACACACACACACACACACACACACACACAATCAATGTTAAAAATAAAATCAAGATATCTATGTCCCTATTTATACAGGCTAGGTGGGGAGCAGAGGGGAGAGTGACCTTTAAGGACTGGCAAGGTCAGCTGGCTCTGGGTCCCAGCTCTGCAACAGCTCCTGTATCACCAAGAACCCAAAGAGTTTCTGAGGAGATCTGCTCTTCAAGGTGATTTTATTATTATTGTCTTTTAGGGAGAAAAAGAGGCATGGAAGAGAATGGGTTAAACTTATTTTACTTTGATTTTAATTCTTTTTTGAAATCAGACACTGGCTGCCACATGTGAGCACCAACCATGCCCTGTTGGTACCACCAGAGCAGACCAACGTCTTAGGCCCTTTCACTCCAGTCCGTGTGCCTGACTGCGCTCATGGGCTGCTCACTCCAGTCCGTGTGCCTGACTGCGCTCATGGGCTGCTCACTCCAGTCCGTGTGCCTGACTGCGCTCATGGGCTGCTCACTCCAGTCCGTGTGCCTGACTGCGCTCATGGGCTGCTCACTCCAGTCCGTGTGCCTGACTCCGCTCATGGGCTGCTCACTCCAGTCCGTGTGCCTGACTGCACTCATGGGCTGTTCACTCCACTCCGTGTGCCTGACTGCGCTCATGGGCTGTTCACTCCAGTCCGTGTGCCTGACTGCGCTCATGGGCTGTTCAACTTCACTTAAGAGGAAGTACTAAGAGTAAGCCATAAAAATTACCGTATTCATCATCTTTCTTCAGAGAAGGGTTTAGATTAGCAACGGCTGGGTCCACCGCTGTGAGTATGTTCTTGGGAACTAAAAGTCAAAAAGAAGTATTTGAAATATGTGCATATTAAAAACACTTTTGCATTTAATATATATTCAAGGTACAATGTAGATAAAGATTTGCAAAATACTTTTCAGGTCACTTATTGCCTCTCTCTCTCTCTCTCTCTCTCTCTCTCTCTCTCTCTCACACACACACACACACACACACACCACACACACTGACACAAATGGCACATACGAGGTCTTCAAATGCCCAAGACAGGTGGAATCTTCGGCATATATCTGCAGTATTTTCTAAGGAGCTGGCATTGTGGAGACGGCCCAGAGGTGAACAGCGTATCTGATGCCGCAGAGGGCCCAAGTTTGTTCCCAGCACCACGCTGGTAGCTCAGCACTGCCTGTAAGTCCAGCCCCAGGGACCCACCTCCCTGTTCTGGCCCCTGCAGGGGACCTCTGCACAAACACACACACATGCATATTTAATATAAACAGCTATTTTCTCTTAAAAGTTCCTAAAGCTGGGAAAGCTGTGGTAGTAGAGTTTCAAGTTTGACGTTGGCTTGGGCTACACAGCAAGACCCCATCTCAAATAAAACTAACGAGGAAAATAAACAAACTAAGGTACACTCAGCTAATGGAAAACACTGGTAATAAAGGGAGCACAGGAATGAATCTCCGTGGGAGAAGCCAGGCACCAAAACCATCTATTGCATAATTCCATTTCTGTGAGCGGCAGAGAGAAGTTTGGTCTAGAGACAGAAGTTGATTAGGGCTCCCAAAGGTGAACAGGGTGCAGAGCATGGGACACTTCAGGAGAGGGGCATGAAATTGGGTGACAGCCACACAGCTTTAAGTGCAGTGAAGTCCACCGAGGTGTCTCACGGTGGGAGAACAGCAGGCTGGGAGAACGCCTCAGAAAGCTGCTAATGGAGACAGGAACATATCTGAGAGGCAGGAAAGCAAACTGACTTGTCAGGACCCCCTCCCCCCTCCTACTCTGCCTTTTCTCTGAACTTTCTCCTCTCTTCTTCATAAACCAAGAGGAGCCGAGCAATCTGGGCTCACATGGTACACTAGACATAAGAAAGGATGTTTTGTGGGAGACGGATCAGCAAGGTCATCCTTGGCTATGTAGGGGGTTCATTCAGAACTAGCCTGGGCTACCTGAGATTGAGAGAGGGAGAGGGAGAGGGGGGGAGGGAGAGAGGGGGGGAAGGAGGGAGGGAGAGAGGGAGAGAGAGAGAGAGAGAGAGAGAGAGAGAGAGAGAGAGAGAGAGAGTTGTGAAGGAGAAACACACTGCTGCCAACTGGGAGAAGGGAGAGGATGCCAAGTATTCTAGCGCAGAAAATCGCTTATTTTCATTTTTGCCTCAGCCCAGATGATATCTAGTGGCAACAGGAAGTAGAAGTGAAGCCAACACAAACCAGGCGAGATCTGCAGCACCACTTTCGCGGAGACCTTGTAAGTCATCTCCAGCTACAAGAAAACCCCACTTCCTTCTCTGAGTGCTTAACTAAATTCTTCTGGAGACATCCCAGGACCAGCAAGCACAGAACAGCTCTAAGCCGTGAACCTCCCAATCCAGGAGACCCTGGTGCCTTTATGCCTGTCAAGGATGGGGTGGCTTCACGGAGAGCCACAGCGGAGATGCTGTGAGAGACCCTCTCGGCAGGCTGCAGGACACAGCACTGACCCTAGGAACACAGCAGCACTGGGAAAAATGCTTTCTACCTCAATAACCTCTTGCTCATCTCCGAGTCTCAAGAATACTCTCTCTGATCCCCTGGCAGCAGTAAAACCCTGGGTGTGCTGTCTTTCCCCATCAGACGTGGCATTTCTTTCTCAGGTCTCTCTCCTGGCTCTCTGTGAATGGCAGAGGCTATAGAGATTCAGAACTGCAGAGAGAAGCTCAAGGGGAATGGCATTCTGGGATGAGCTTTGTCAACAACCCAGCAGATCACGCAGCTGTGAAACACAGGTCACCATAGGAAGCTTGCTTGTTTACTGTGTTCTCATGGTACACGTCTATAATTCTAGCGCCTGGGAGACAGGAGAGTCTGAAGTTCACAGTTGTCTTTGACTATACAGTGACTTTAAGACCGCCCTGGATGACATGAGGCCCTGTTTTTCAAAACTGGTTCAGAATGGATTATAGTGATGCCAGTATTCTTAAACTGCTTATGATGGCAGTTGCATAATTTCACGGACATTATAAAAACCATAGACTGTTTGTTTGACCAGGCACACTCTGCATTCCTATCTCAATAAAGCTGTTTCAATAACCAAAGCCTAGTGAACAATATTCTTCAAGGGAGGCATCAAGTTCTTCATTGTTGGACTTCCCCATTTCCCTTCTCTTCCATGCTCATTTCAGAAGAACAACCAGTATGTCGAGATTATAGACTGGACCACCACAGTATCCTGAAAACCGTTGCTGATTCGCTTTGAAGTGGTTTCCTGAAGATGGAATCCAAGTAGAACATGGATTTCACTTCCTTCTAAAGACACTGGACCAGCAAAGGGGCTGCTGCAACCCTGGGGAGCCTGTGCTGTACTGTATCCATGCTGAGGCCATGCAGCTAAAGCAGTTGTTGGCAGCACAGTGGGCCATCAGTTAGGGCCTCCAAACGGTACAGGAAACCTAAGGAGAAGCCAAACTCACACGACACCAGTACACTTCAGGGCTCCCTAAAAACCAAGATAGAATTCGTTCGTTCTCAGTGACCTCAACTCTGTCCCCAGTTGCTTATTCTCCCTACTCGCCCCATCCACGGCCAATCTGATTACCTTGTGTGCTCCCAAAACAATTTTTGACCAAAGAAATCCCTATTGCTTATCTGATGTGAACGTCATAAACAAGGCTAACTGAGAGAAAAGGTCTGGGTGTGTGTGAGGTGACTCAGCGGTAACCAGCTGAGCGGTGGGGCTCTTTCTGTCAGCAACCAAATGGGGTGTCACCCTTCACGGCAAGTGCCAGTGTGAATAGACTCGAAAAAGTGTCCCTTCCTTTGATTTCAACTAAAAGCGTGCTGGGAAAGAGATGTTGTATACAGCCCAAAGCGTTCCTGTCTGTCGTGATCATTATTGTTGTTGCTTTGAAATAGGAACTTCTACGTAGCCCAGGCCAGCCCTTGAATTCCCAGCACTCCTTCTGCCTCAGCCTCCTGAAGGCTGGGGTTGCACGTGTGTGCTGCTCCACCCACGTCCTGTTTGCCATCTTTACGGGAGGAACTCCAGAGGAGTCTCTGTCCACCATTTTCACCTTTTAATGTCTACACTATGATGCTGAGCTAATCCTAGGAATGTTTCAGCCATCTTTCCTGCTCACACTATGAACTCCAACTGAGCAAGCCCAGTACTGTAGACCACCCCCAAGGTGCTTTCCTAGACGTATAAACTTGAATGACACTGGTGAACTCCTTACTTGCCAATAAACCTCTCTCCGGTCTTCCCTCTTTTGCTTGTGCTTATTGTCCATGCATGGCCCACTATGTGCAATTAAAGCATCACACACACTCCTGTTTGGACATGGCTACCATCTCCCGACAGGCATGTGTTCACAGAGCTGGCTGAGAGTTTTTTCTTACCACAGGCGTAGGCGACAGTGAGGTATTTTTTCACTCCTGGAAGACAGGGGCTCCCGAAGTGGTAGTTATCGACGAGGACCTTGCATCTCTGCTTCCCATAGCACCTCCTGGACAGGACTTGTAACGCCGTGTAAGACAGGCAGTCTGGAAGGGAAGGGACGTGAGAGTGTCAGGCTGGTCGCACTTGGCCGTACAGCTTACAGCACTTTCTGTACATACATTCACCAAACTTCCAGTCAAACAAAGACTGTTTCTCTGCTGATCTGTCTTGTTGAATTACCCAAGAAGCTCTGTACTAGCTTGGCCATCAGCCTTCAGGACGCCCTGAGCTCGGCCTAAGGACCTGCCGTCACCATCTTGAAATTCTGATGTAGTCGTTGTCAATGCACCTGCATGTTTGCCTTGCCCCGGGCTCTGCAGCCTGGCATTGGCCGTAGATGCAAAGCCCCGAATGAGGCTCTTATTTACTTCATGGCCACAATGCTTTGAAGTATTTGCCTTGTTTAAGACTTCCTTCTGCATGACCACAAGCTCCATGTGGGGTATGTCTATGCTGTTCATCATCCGGTTCCCACTGCCCAGTCACTGTAGGACCCCAGTAAGCAACTGATAAACAGATGGAAGAAGGAACTAGTAAACAGGCACAAAATCACATGTCATTATTGTGGGTGGATTGGCTATGCCATGCTTTGGTGGTTCCCTGTAGTGTTGGGGGGGAGCTGAGATGTGTTGGGGGCTGAGATGGCCCAGCAGTTAAGGGCACTGCCTGCTCTTCCAGACCATCTGAGGTGTTCCCAGAACCCACAAGGAACAGCTCACAGCTGCCTGTAAACCCAGGAGAATCTGGTGTCGCCTCCTGGCCATACAGGCACTGGGAGGAGGAGACAGGTTAGTCCCTGGCACTTACTGACCAACTAGCCTGGCCCACTTAGTGAGCCCCAGGCCAGGGAGAGACCCTGTCTCAAGAGACAAGCTAGCTGGCATGTGAGGAACAACACCCGAGGTTGACCTCTGGCTCATAGACACACATCCACACATGTGCGTTCTCACACACACAAGCACATACACATACAAAATAGTAGAAGAGGCCTTGAAGCGGGCTGCTGGCTCTGCCTCCTCTTGTAATGCCCTGGACTGTGACAAAATGCCAGCCCTCGGATGCTGACGGGAAGCCAGGGCCATGCTCTTAGATTTCTCAGCTCTTGCAATATTGAGCTAAATATAAACTCCTATTCCTTCCAGGTTACTTGGTTTCAGCTCTTTATTAACAGAACATTGGCTACAGTAACAATCCTAGACTCGTGAGTCTGCTGCGGTTAAGATTCCGAGGGATGTCGCAGCCGGAAAACACAGCAATGACTGGGAGTGCAGCATCAGACTGGCCACTATTCCTGCAAAGCCTCCGCTTCCCTACTTGGACAACAGAGAACTGGCTCACGGGCCCGTGTGATTGTCATCTGATATCCGTCATGGACGGTATCTAATGCTGGCACCCAAGGGACCTGGTTAGCATCACTGTCATGACGTTATCACTGGCACTGGTGTTAGACGTCACCACAGTCTTAAATGTCCTCCCACAGCCTTTTTGCTACAGCATCGCTCCCCAGCTAAGCACTACTGGAAGGTAGACAGGCCTGGTGAAAGGTCCTCCAGGCATCAAAGACATGACCTCGATGGGGGTGCTGGCCCCTGGCTCCTTCCACTTCCTCCCTTTTCGGTGTCCTGGTCGTGAGGTGAGAGCTTTGCCGAACCACACTCCCACAATGGTGTGCTCCGCACCATGAGCCCAAAAGTATGAGGACCAATCAATCATGGACTGGAGCCTCTGAAAACTAAGCCAAAATAAACCTCCGGTCTTCGTGTGTTGGTCCCCTCGGGTGTTTTGTGACAGTGCAAAGCTGGCTAACACAGGAAGGAAAGCCCTGTTTGGGAAACCTTCACGGCCTTCGTCTAAATTATCTGCCATCTCTGCTCTTGTGAAGGAAAAATGTATATGCTACATCCACAACTAAACGTTAAGGCTTAAACGGAGGTGTGGAGGGAGATGAATGGGGACCCCCGAGGATGGCAGAAGCCATTTTTGATTAAAAGGGAAAAGCAGGTTTATCACCCCAACACACTTCTTTTAAGGTCCTTCCCAAGGTCTTGAGAATTAGCATGGTTTGAAAATGGAAGAGTATGCACGTGCATGCTTGGTTTACAAACAATTCTTCTGAGATAGCGTCTCGTTCTACATACAGCCCAGGTTAACCTTGAACCTGTGACAATCCTCCTGACTCTGTCTCCTAAATGCCAAGATTGCACGTGTAAGCCACCATGCTTGGTAGCTTCCTTAATGTGCTCTGTTTGTTTTATCTTCGAGACAAGATCTTACCGTCTATGCCAAGCTAGATTAAAACTGGTGATCCCCTGCCTCAGTGTTCTAAATCTTGGTATTATGGGCCTGGACTTAAGTTCCTTAAATGCAAAAATAAAAATCTGTGTTGAAATAGAAGCCAGTGTTCGAATGGTGAGAGTCTTGGGGTATGTTGTTAAAAATGTAAAAGTTTCTGCAATGGTATTCGAGCTATTCTTGTAAAACTTAGCTTTACCCAGAAACTAGGGAGGGAGGATTTCTCCTCTCAGACACTATGGAGGGTTTATGTTTTCAATATTCTACCACTTTATTTATTTATTTATTGCTTTGTAGGTATGTAAGGCAGAGTAGATATGTTTTTGTTGTCCTCAGCAGCTTCATTATAATTTAGTTTTCTGAGCTAAGATTATTTACCAGTTTTTTTAAAAAACTGTTCAGAGGCTGAAGAAATGGCTCCACCCTAAGTTTGGTTTCCAAACTCACATTGAGATCCTGACACCCCCTTCTGGCCATCTCAAGTACTGCACACAGATATGGCACACACACACACACACACACACACACACACACACATAAAATCTTTTTTAAAAGTTCCGTTTCTTCTAAGTCACATTTTGTATGTATACGCCAGACTAAAACCAGCCCCATCTCCACTGGCCTTCCCTCCCCTCTCCCCTAAGTAGGAATTCTTAGGGATTCTCCAGGGAGTGAAGGTGAATACAGTCTCTGTAGATATTGCCTATACAGGGAAGACTGTACCCGTGTGAGGTTCAAAATTTGTCTTAGGAATCTGAGGTTGTAAAATACAACTCTTATTTTTGCTTTTTACATAACTTCATGTTTTCATGTATAAATAAAACAACACAGGAGAGAAAAAATCCCCGGCAAATGCTGCTCTTCAGGAAAGAACCCCCCTGAGCTCGTTAACCTTTCTGAGCTGAGTGTGGGTGCACATGCCTGGGAGGTGTTGGCAAGAGGATCAGGAACTTGTGGCATTACTGGGCTATATGAGACCATTTTTTCAAACAAGAGATGGACCGGCAGTTAAGAGCACTTGCTGCTCTTGGAGAGAGCCTGGTTGTGTTCCCAGCACCCACAAAGTGGCTCACAATTGTCTGTAACTCCAGTTCCAGGACATCTAATGCCGCCTTCTTCTGACCTTCATAGGCACCAGGCCCACACGTTCATATATGCAAGCAAAACACTCATGTACATAAACTAAACAAACAAATCTAAAAATGTTTAAAAGAACATCCCTTTGCGACTTTCCTCTGTGTAAACATCCTCCTCCCCCCAATGGTGTCACACATATTTAACTTTGCATGGGGCTCTTCCCCTTTATCAATACATTTGTGACCATGTAAACATAAGCTCTATTTTCAGATTTTTATTTTTAAGTGTGTGTGTGTGTGTGTATGTGTGTGTGTGTGTGTGTAGGTCAGTGTGCGGGTGTGTGCATGTGAATGCTGGCACCTGTGGAGGTAAGAGGTCTTGGGATGATCTAGGAGCTGATGTCACAGGTGGCTGGGAATCTGGTCTGTGACCTTGGCAAAAGCAGTGCATGCTGTTAACCACTGAGTCACCTCTCCAACCCCACCAGCTTAGTTATAAAGAGCTGCCTTGTTTCTCATCTGCTTGTAAACCCTGTGCAACATTCAGATGCTATCCCTCCCCATTTTTTTTCCTTTTTTTTGGTTTTTCGAGACAGGGTTTCTCTGTAGCTTTGGAGCCTGTCCTGGAACTAGCTCTTGTAGTCCAGGCTGGCCTCGAACTCACAGAGATCCACCTGCCTCTGCCTCCTGAGTGCTGGGATTAAAGGCACGCGCCACCACGCACCCCCCCCCATTTTAACACAATAAGCAATGTCACGTTGAACCTGCTTAGAGCTAGACATTTGCATGCGAATATGGGACTTTCCGTGGGAATTCTTCGTCATAGTTGCTCTGCCAGAGAGTGCCGGAGGATGAACCCTGGGACACACTGACAGGCTGATATTTAGGGAAATAGTGCCATTGTGTACTACCGATGTAAACGAATATTCTAGAAAGCTGACATTTCTTAGAGCTATGAAGAAATAGATGCCTGACCATTTCTCTTTTTTAGAGGTGGTTGCTATTAGTTTTTTTTTTTTTTTTTTTTTGAGCCAAGGTCTCATGTTGCCTGGGCTGGCATCAAACTCAATTTGTAGCTGAGGATGGCCTTGAACTTCTGTTCCTCCTGCCTCCATCTCCCCAGTCCTGGTATTATAGACACGCATCACCATGCCTGGTTTATGCAATGCTGCGATCAAACCAGAGCCCGGTGCCTTCTGTGCAAGCACTCTCCCAACTGAGTTACATCCTCAGGGCAGCCTCAACATAGTCTTAAAGACTAACAGAGAAAGAACACAACCTTCCAGGTCAAGGATAGGAGGACCCCTGCTTAAAGAATCCGAGCGTACTCCATACTCTAGTGAGAGAACGTACCTTACCCCCAAAGATCTCATCTCTCACCAGAGCATTTATCTTAGCCATGACTTCAGGAAGTGGCCAAGGCAGCTCAGGGCTGACTCAGGGCTGCCTGTGCCCTTGTGGGTGCCGAGCTCAGAACCATTCCCAGGCCTTTGTAGTTTCTTTAAAGGTGGTTACGGCCCCGCCCACACAGGTTTTGCTTGCCCCGTCTGATGCTGCCAAGCTCCCTCCTCCCCAATACATGTGATAACAAGATACTCGACCATTTGAATTCTTGCTTTCTGGCAATTGTTTAGCACTATGACTGAAGTTAATCACTCTTGCAAGCCAGTGTTTAT